TTTTTTCGATATATATATATATATATATATATATATATATATATATATATATATATCAAATGAATGTTCTAGTGTTCATTTTCTTGAATATTTCATTTCGTTATATATATATATATATATATATATATATATATATATATATATATATATATATATATATATATATTTCAAATTGATTTATTGCCTGTTAAAGATCGTTTATTTCCAATGTGTTTAGCAGTAACAGACTTATTTTAATGTAAAAAACTTTATTTTCGTTGACATTTCGTTGTATATCACAACTTTGTCAAAACTAATAGAAAAAAGAAGAGAAAAGAATAATAAAATGAAATAAAATTGAAAAAAATTAAATTTTAAAACTTTATTTTCAACGAAAATGAAGTTTTCAACATTAAAATAAGCCTGCCATTGCTAAAAACATTGAAAATAATATAAATATATATAAATATATATATATATATATATATTGATAATATATATATATATATATATATATATATATATATATATATATATATATATATATATATATATATATATATATATATATATATATATATATATATATATATATATATATATATATATATATATATATATATATATATATATATATATTATCATTCAAAATTCTTAAAAATATTGTATTTCAAAGAACGTTTCGAATTAATGTTTCGGATGTCTTAATTACTTACTTCATAAGTTTTTTATTATATCCTGCGGAAAGTAGCCATTTCGTTGGTCAATGGCCTCTTCTAAAATTCTAAGCAAAAGCAAATTAATGTTTATTTCGCCTAAGATATTAATGACATCTTTGTTATTTCAAATCAGATTTTTTCAAATCCTCATAATTTCCTTTTAATTTTCAGTTAGAATGATGAAATGCAATTGAAACCATCAAATTCAATCCGTTTATCGAATTCAAGTAGATGTATTTCAATTTCTCATTATGTATGTGAAAAATAGGAGTGATAATAGTTAATTTCATAGGAATAAGACTTGAGTAGTTATGGAGAATAATAATAATATGATAACCAATATTTTGCATAACTAATTCACATCTATGACTCGAGTTGTTGATATAAAATAGGGTAAAACTGGGGGTGAGTTGCGAGCCGAGTTAGCTCAATCAAATGAATCATATGTTCAGTTCTATTGTAGCATATAAAATTACAATGGATGTTAATTAATTAATATAGGGCCAATATTGATAACAAATATAAATATTATTCGTTCTGCTAAGAAGAAGAGGTACTGTCGATATGGCCGAGGCAGTGGTAAAGTATTTAATTGAAGAAAACATTTTGTGAGCGACTGAATTCTGCCCAAATTATTATTTGTAAAATTTTGAGTCAGCTAAATGGTTGGCGAACCTTATCTCGACGACTTATACTAGACGCGATTGTAATTTGTTAATGTGAATTTTTTTATTATTCTCACATTCTATATGTGAAGAATCATAATTCTTCATTTAAGAAAAAGTATTTGGGGAACTCGTAAATTACTTTTTTCTGAAAATATTTTAGATTTGAAACTTATCGTTTCACTTCAAACAATTTTTCAAATTACTAGAATGGTAAAATTAGTGAATTGAAATATAATGAAATATCCCCTTTTCATTGGCATATATGTTAGGCTATATAAATTTGGTATATATCTTGATACAGTTATGTAGTTATTTTGTTTCCAGACACTAATTACAACAGCTAAATTTTATTAATATTGATATTGAATATTATTATAATATAAATAAGCGCAGTAATAACCTTAATTGTGTTATTGTTGTCACTGGTTATTCAAACAATAAATAATATATGACTTTTTAAATCTATATTAACAATATATATATATATATATATATACATATATATATATATATATATATATATATATATATATATATATATATATATATATATATATATAAAGATCCATTGTTTGGGTGGTATCAGGTTTATGAAATAGAGTTAACTAATCACAAAGTAATTAGACGTTTCAAGTTGATTACTAATTATTAACATCGTTTAGTTAACTACATTTCATTTAATGAAACTGGTTATTCAAACAATAAATAATATATGACTTGTTTATTATAAACAATATAAAACCTTTTTTAAATCTATAACTATATAAGATATATATATATATATATATATATATATATATATATATATATATATATATATATATATATATATATATATAAAGATCCATTGTAAATTGGGTGGTATCAGGTTTATGAAATAGAGTTAACTAATCACAAAGTAGTCTATTAGACGTTTCAAGTTGATTACTAATTATTAACATCGTGATTTGTTAACTAGATTTTACAAATTTAATGAAACCAAATTGACACTGAATGTTGAAGATGTCTCCTGAGCAGACACAAAAATAGTGTCGAAATATCGAGAATTGTTATGAATAAATGAGTTTTTAAACACTTCACCAGACCGATTATTCCCGTTACCTAAATTCTACATATATATATATATATATATATATATATATATATATATATATATATAAACATGAAAGAAAATTTCTACAAGAAAAATAATTCTGTAGTTCTCGTGCTATATTATCTTGTAGATATTCCGTATCAAAGTATACTCTAACTTTCTTTCGATAATTTTTTGAGAAATTATTCATAAAACATAACATTAAAGCTGAGCTGGCTCTGTGAAACATGAACAATGCGTTGTCTCCATTATCCTCTAAGGATTAATGTTAGAGAATATTGAAATCGATGCCTACATTTATTGAAAGCGTAAGAGAGTTACAGTTTCGTACTACAAGGTATTCATCAGTTACGCCACGTTCAACAAACGAAAGGCAATGACTTCAATCCTCGCATATCCTCCCATTAATTGTAAGACAGAAATTTAAGTAAGTCGTAGGCATATATAATGCATATTAATTAGTTATTAGTTGATGAAAGATAAATGTAGGTACATCTCAAATCTTAGGAATCAATGAAAAGCACATGAATACATCTAACATTGAAAGTTTCACACGTTCTTATCAATTAATATATCTATATATGAAGATATAATATATTCGGTAGTCAAGTGCAATTCTTCTTCAGTTTAGAAACATTTCAGTTTAGTACACCATTTATGTTGTATACAATAACAAAATTTTCATATGTTGATATATGTTGAGAGGAATTGAAAGCTTTCAGATGGATTCTTCTTGACATACTCCAAGAAGAATTGATTAATAGAAACTAATATATTATTCGAAATTCAAATAAATACGCTGTTTACCGATAACTTTATATAATCAAATGAAATAATTAAGAAATATTTTCATAAATATAAAGACATCTGGATGAAAATGCACTAATGTCAATATTATGAAATATGCAGTAAAAATATATTTCCTATCCATTCTACAATAAAAAGTATTTCCTTGAATTTATTCAGATCATACAAATAAATGCAGAGCAAATGCGTTTCTTCTCCAAGTTTTTTCAAAAATATTAAGTAATATATATATATATATATATATATATATATATATATATATATATATATATATATATATATATATATATATATTTCCGAAATTCGTAATTTGAGTAGATATAAATCTCAAGTCTTTGAAATCTGGCTCTATGTGAAACTTCTGTACAATTTATGAATGAAGCGTCCAGTTTATTCATTCAAAGGAATCCTACAGAGCTTTATACAATAAGTGTAAATTTTTCATAAACTTACTCGGTCCAAACTTTGTTAGTTTTCATCCATTGAATCAGATACACATTTCTTATGAACGAACAAATATGTTGAAGTTGCAAACATCCACCACTCATTGTCACAGTTATTCGAGAAGCTACCTAAAATACACCCCCTCCGAGAACCGACCACGTGAAAGCGTCGAGAACAAACAACTCTACTTCCATTCCGTGCAACTTCAGAACGATAGAACTTCCATAACGTATCGCGTACCTCAACTGACAGACAAGTTTAAGCTATTGGTGTGTATTGGTATACACAAGACAACTAACATTGCATCCGAACGATCACCGGCGGGGTCAGAACAAGCAGTAGGGACTTATCGCTTAACGTGATTAGTTGTTAATTCTTCTTCAATTAACATTGCTTCCATCGTAAATGATTAAAACAATCGAGGTATAATTGATGTCTGTTTGATTTGCAGAAGTGAAAATTGATGATTAACTGATTGATAATGTTCTAAGTTGAGTGGCCATTAATTCCGTATTCTAAAATGAGAATGAAAGATAGGCTCTTTCTTCAAAAAAAGGATTTTCATAATGAAACACTAATTCAAATTTTCTTATATATTAAATATTTAGATTCTGGAGAGGAAGCTGAACTTCGAAACATGCGTCATGCGTATTATTTGACATATAAAAAAATTTTGATTTGTGTTTCATTAGGGATATTAATTTTCTTTAAGCATCAGCCTTAGAACCATCATTAATCATCATTGAAATGATTTTCCTCTTGAAGAATATATTAGGAAGAAGGATATTTTTCGATACAGAAAATCAATTTTCCAATTATAGAAATGATCTTGTTTTATTCAACCTATTTTTGAAAATCGTTGAATATTCTTGAAACAATCATGAATATTTTGAACATTTTCAAGGAAAGTGTTGAGCTTACATATAAATATTAGGTATGACGTTTCTTTATTCTAAATTAAAATGAGAAACAATTATTTTTTCCTGAATTAATTAAAAGATCATCCGATGGATCATTTTGAAATATATTGCATTTCTGTAAACAGTTGACATTCCAAAGAATTATTACACTCGACATATTTTTTCAATAATAATATTATAAGTCTTCAATTTCAAAGAAGTCGAGCTTTACTTACCTACTTAACCAATGACTTCGAGCTACAAACCCATTATCAAGAGTTTAGTACAACAAATTTGAAAAAGTAATAATGTGTTTATATTTTTCACATTAAATTAACAATAAAACTAATACATCAACGATAAAAATCATTTGAACCATTAAATTCAGCCAGTCTCCGTGGTTTAGTTGGAAGAATACCCGACTATGGTGCGGTAAAACTCGGGTTCGAGCCCCGGTGAAAGGCATGGGCGTATGTGTTGTGGAATGTACATTGATTACGAAGCCCATGGGCCATTCGGAATCGGCGTTAAACTGTAGGTCCACTGAATTGAAAAAAAATTTGATTGTCAATATTATAACTAGTTAAATTGTTAATTTTCTAAATAGTTGTGTTAAGCTCTTAACAACGATTTACTTTCCCGATATGAACGCATATGGAAATGTATTGAAGAAATTTGTGTAAATTAGCTGAGTGTTTTAAATAATATAATAACACATAGGATTCTAATGTCAATTTTGACAATTGTAAGTCATAGAATGATTATTGGTATGAAAATATTAAGACATCATATTTTCTATTTTATAATACTGGATAGAAGAGAAATCGGACTATTCTAACTTTATATGTCCTCAAACTTTAAACCACGGATTTTATATAAATAAGAACACAGAAACCATGAAACTGACAGAACCTCAGAAGTGATGGATTGAGAATAGGCCATACCAGACTGACTCATGAACACATCCTGGAGAGAGAAGAACCGCCAATCTGTACAAAATGCACAACAGCAAAACCAATTCACCACATTCTGATATGCCCAGTATTCAACAGACAGAGAGATGATCTAGATATAAGCAACCAAGACCCCTTCGAAGTACTCAGGACCAACCCCCAAAAAGTTATAAAATACCTTAAGAAAATTGAAATGTACAATGTTATTTGATTTTACCTATACAAAAAAGCCGCTAATAATCCTTTGTGGTTGATGCGGTCTACACTTCTTTTATGGTTTGTAATTTAAAGAAAAAAAAAAGAACACAGAATCTCTTTCTCCAAATATATCTAATACTAGTTTATAAATATACATTCAAACCATAACCAGATCAAATAAATAATTAAGTAGGTAATAAATATGAGATAAATTCAAACCCTTGAAATTCTGATATACATTTTTATTGACTAATATAGCATGAGGCGTTTTGTCGGGGTACCGACTTCTTCAGGCGTTTACAAAATATGAGTACCTAGATGAGAACAAATTTTACTGTACATGGCTTTATGAACAAACAGGGGTTTAGACTATAGAGTTATGGCCGAATGCCTTTCATAATGAACTGTAAGCTCAGTATGGAAGGCCTAAAACCAACAAATTTAAGACATACTCTCACAAAATTGATAGATAATAGAATTCTGGTTTTTTGGAAAGAACATTCTTGGAGGCTACTCGCATCAATTGGTTTTCGTGGAAATCGGAAATAGACCTGATCAGGTACATACTTGATAGTTTACGTACAATCGTTAGTTGAATTACCTTGCGATTGTTATTGAACATTTGACGTAGTATGCTGACGAATCGATAATGATTATTGCTGATTTAACATTCCATTATGCAGTATATGTAAAAACAAAATATCGAAGAACAGAGTCAAGGTTATGTCCTCTCAGAAAATTACGGGAGACACGAATATATTCAGTTAATATATTCAGTTTATATAATAAGCATCAATATATATAAATATATTATATATATATATATATATATATATATATATATATATATATATATATATATATATATATATATATATATATATATATATATATATATATATATATATATAAGGAAATCAAATTTTTTTGTGCTTATGGCACTGAATAACATATTTAAGAAAATGAACACTAGGACCTTCATTTGAAAAATCCAAAGTAACCAAGAGAATGTTATAGTTAATTTCTCTTGGTTGATTTGTATTTTTCAAATGAATGTTCTAGTGTTCATTTTCTATTTCCTTATATATATATATATATATATATATATATATATATATATATATATATATATAAACAGAAGTGAACATTGTCGGCATATCCCGCAATTGAAAGCAGACGTTGACACGTGTTTCGAGTTTATTGGCTTATCTCAGAACGGCGTAGCCAAGTTCAAGTTGTACGAACCTGAAGATGGAAAAACAAGAAAGAAACAGACACTCCACTGAAGGAAGTCTAGACATTTCAGGCTACCCCGTTTGTACTCTCCGGATTGGGAGATTTGAAAGAACTACTCAGCCCGTGAGGCGACTATTTATCCTTCAAGGATGCCTCTGGTCTAGAAATTATACAATATATGAATAATGTTCGATGCGAGGAAAAATTTCAAGCAAAAGTGAACATTGTTGGCATATCCTGCAATTGGTAGCAGCGGTTGACAGGTGTTTCCAGCTTATTGGCTCTCCTTAGAACGGCATAACCAATTTCAAGTTGTGGATGCTAAAATACTCGCGTTGTAGCAAGTTTTAATAGAACATGCTAAAAATATAAAACTTTTGATCTCCGTAACCGCACGCATTTCATGAAATTAATATATTATAATTTATATACTAAATCATTTAGTAAAATTGATGAGTCTAAAAAATTGATAATTTTAAACATACCAATATCATGACAGGTTAATTTGTTAAATTCAATTTGATATGTCTGCACAAGCCGTTGACATATATTGAACCTTCGAAAGAAAACTGTTTTGAATTGACAGAAAATAAGAATTTGAATTGACACAAAATAAGAATCAAATGAATGAATTATAAAGATGATAAAGTACAAAGAGATTAGATGGCCATTTCATTGACAAATGATAGAATTCAATTGAAGTATCAGTATTTAGAGATAGAAGAATGGTTGGATTAGTTGCAAACAGTATTCATTTAGTTGATCCTCTATTTATATAGCAGTGAAGTGTAGTTTATTTATTTTTATCATATTTCCAATTGAAATATAATGATAATAATATCATAATGATCATTATCATATTATCATTATTATATATTATAATAATTATTCTCTAGTGCAGGCGCCAAAGGGAGTAGAGTATGCAAAATATGAGGACTATGCTCAGGCAACTATGCTCAGATTCGTTATCCTAAGACCTCAGATAACAAGAGTTGCCAGCACTTCTGCTGGTCCATTTTCCTGTTATTGGTCCCCTTCCCCCGCGAGCACCGATATGCGCCATACCGCGTGTAGTGGCCAGTAGAAATTGACTGATAATTTAGAATTGTTAATTTTTTGGTATTTACGCAATACAATTCAAAATTGATGGTATTTGGGTATTCAATTAGTTCTTAAATGCTCTGCATTTACATTTCTTAAGAGCATCACCACAAACATATTTATGGATGAAAGTCGACAATTGATTACACCTTATTAGGCTTGATTTGAATGTTCGCTGATATCTTGGTGAAACACTGAATTTCTTTCGAAAAAATTAAACTGAATTGATTACTAAACAATTGTTTCGGGGTGTTACCCCAACTGAAAGCAATTTACAGTACTGAAAATAGTTTACCATCTGAAAATGGGCTGATATCTCGAAACAATTTTCAAGCAAATAACTTAATATAAATTTTGAGTAACCAAGCTAAGTCTTTTCTATTGGATATATCTTACTAGGCTATAAAAAAAAGATGGCAAATTATACCAACGTCGTTTGGAAAAGTTGTCCTTACAAGAATTTTAGATTCAGTCTTGTAAACATACACCGCATGCCGGAAAAACCTGTGCTTTCAGAAAATTACAACTTAATTTTATTTCATTGTGCAAATGAATCAGTAATATGTGTACAGAAATGTAGTATCAATGACATATTAAAATTCGTTTGTTTATGAAGGCCATTTTTTAAGAGTAATTAGTTTTCAAACATATCAACATTTCAAACATTTCAACATTTTCAAACAAAAATAAAAAATCAGGTGTATATAAAATTAACTGTGGTAGTTGTGATAAGTTTTATATTGGTAGAACGTTTAGAGGTTTTCAAATAAGAATTTCGGAACATAAACGTAGCTTTGATAATAAGAAGACAGATTCTCATTATGCAAATCATTTGATTAATGAAAATCATATATTCAATTCCGATTTTGAAATTTTGAATACCGCAAACAAGGGAATGAAGCTTAATTTGTTAGAATCATTTCAAATTAATAAATACAAATATTCTGGCAACCTTTTGAACAGCCAAATCGATCATACCTCAAGCCCCTTTCTCAATCTTTTCAAAATTACTTAGTTTACTATATAGTAGTTCAGTATGAATTGATCCCTTCTACCTGTTATCTTCCTGTTTTCTCTGTATTCATAATTTAAGTTTATATATTGTATGTATTCGAGAAATTGTCATTAGTCTGCACGTAGCATTTGAAAAAGGTGAATCTCATCGAAACGTACGTCATGCAGTATTCTTTTTAATATATGTGTAAATCAGTTTAACAATTGTTTTATTATGTTTATCGAATTACATCAAGTATCGGCATCATCAATTATTAATTAGTTTTCAACCCTAACTTTTTTTGTATTCGCTTCCGAGGTATGGAGTGTGATGAGGGGCAGTAAACGAGCTTCTTGAAAAAATCAATGTGAAGAAATATTACATATTCCATTTTGTTTCACCATTTCAATTCAATATTTTAGCAACAAAAAATTTTTTTGGGGAAGCCCATTCGGCCCCCGGGCCCAATTCACCTCCACGTGAGGTATATCTAATATCATTAGAAGAAATTGTATAAATTGTATTTCTAAAAAATCATAAGAATGGCCACATCCAGATTCGTAATCTGCTTTTCTGAGCTTGAAACAATTCACAGAATGCGGGTTCATATTTTGCATACTCAACTCCCTCCAGATCCTTGTCTACAATATATGCCGCTCACTTGTATTTCTGCCAATCAATACTATTTTTATGAAAAAATTTGAAAAAAAGTTCAAATGTTACAAAAGCTAACAAATAGAGTTATTCGCATTATTTTGTGTATCATATATACCAGGTATATATAAGTGTTAGATGCTGCAGGTATTATGTCAGTGGAACAGTAAATTGTTTTATAATATGATGAGATTTATTTTTAAGATATTAAAAAATGTCCTACCAAGTGATTTGAAGGATAAGTTCATCTTTGTTCGGGATGCCCATGCATATGGAACACGATCAAGGAACAACTTTCATATTAGGAAGCTGAATTCAATACCAAGTTC